GACTCGCAGCCCGATTCATAACCACTACGCTACCAGAGCTCCTTAGCTTCCTTGAAAGGTAAAATTAAAATGCTGATTTTCAGATTTGTGAAACAATCCTTCAGAGGTACTCATTTATTTATTCAATCATACATTCACTCAGCAAACATTTGTTGAGTATCTTCTATGTGTCTAGCATAGTATTTATTGTCTGAGTAAAGATCATTTACTCCTTAGCCTCAAGAAGTTAGAATCCTCAACAAATTTAATAGAAAATAATAATAAAATATGATAAAAGCTATAAAAAGCATGAAAGAAATTTAGCTCAGATTGTAGCAAAGCTTGCATGGAAAGTGACACTGTAAGCTAACATTTGAAGGGTTGCCAGGGAAAGAGTAGAAGTGGCCCCACAGAGGAAACAGCAAAGTCTAAAAGCAAGGATATTGAGAAGTCAAGAAAACAAGTTACTCAGCATGGCTGCAGTGGATCATTAAAGCAATAGAAACAACAAGAAATAAGATCTAGAAAGGTCAGGAGAAACAAGATTATGAAAGATCTTGTATGTAATTTTTTTATTAGAAGTTTGGATTTTACCTGGAAGATTTGCAAATAAATGGGAAAGTATGTATATATATAGATTTCTCTTTATTTCCATTGTATTTATAACTTAATCAGGATAACAGCGTTACCATTGTTAAGTGCTGTTTACTCGTTTCTGATTCTTAGTGGCTGTGTATAGGGTTTTCTAACAGTGGCGAATGGGTTTGAACCACAGACCTTGCAATTAGCAGTCCAATGCTAATCCTATAATGCAACACCAGGACACCAGAGTAAAGAACACAAAATAGGAAAAACAAACAGAAAACAAATACTCACCGTGCTTTCCCCTAGAAATATCCACATATTGGCACAGTCTTGGATGTGTAATGGTCTTAAGGATTTGAAAACGTCCTAAAATTTTAATGGAATTTGGTGTGAGAGGAAGCCCGTTGCTTCCACAAACATCATGTGGCAGAGCTGAGGCAAAGAAGGTAAAGGCGCCCATTTCAGCATCCTTCAAAGGAAACATTTTCAGCCTTAAGTCTTCTAGAAATACCTAGGAAAAACAGAATTTTATGATCAACCAAACATTAAGCCAGTTGTTTTTACACCTTAAAAATGATTAATAATATAAACATAGTATACATCAAAATTAAAAACTTTTCTCAGGTAATATTAAAGTAGGAAAAAACAGAAGAACAAATTTATATTGAAGTTCTAAATCAATCACAAAGATCTTCAAGGACTTACATAAAATAAATGGAAGAGCATTTCATGTTCAATGAAACCTAAAAGCTTTAAGAATTTTGGTGGTGGTGGTAGTGGTTATGTGCTGTGGAGTTGGTTCCATCTCATAGCGACCCTGTAAGTCTTTACGAGAGCAGAAAGTCTCATTTTTCTACCACAGAATGGATGGTAGTTTCAAACTGATGACCTTGAGGTTAGCAGCCCGACTTGTAACCACTACACTACTATTACACATTCTTATCAATAAGGTTCTTCTTTTTATCAAAAGTTTGAATAAATCACAGACTATCAAAAACCTTCCCTTCTCACAGAATGAGGAAAGAAGAAATATAGATACCACCCAGAAAGTAAATAATTAGCACTGGTCATGCGCTGGGCTGCTAACCTCAAGGTCAGCAGTTTGAATCCATCAGCTGCTCCATGTGAGAGAGATGAGACTTTCTGCTCCTGTAAAGATTTGTAGTCGTGGAAACCCTATACAGGGTCACTAAGAGTTGTAACTTACTCATAGGTACAACTAAGGCACTCACAGTAGTAAAAGGCTCTCACAATAGTAAAATGAACCGTGAAAACACAAGACTCTCCAATGTTAATTACGTAGCTAATCAAGATTTTGTGCATGTGCTAGATTCTTTACATAACCCTCTCAACAAGACTGATTGTTATTGCCTCCAGTTTATAGGTTGTTGTTGTGTGGTGTTGAGTCGGTTCCAACTCATAGGGACCCTGAATAGGGTTTCTGAGGCTTCAAATCTTTGTGGGAGGAGAAAGCTTCATTTTTCTCTTGTAGAGAGGCTGGTGGACTTGAACTGCCAACCATGTGGCTTGCAGTCCAGTGCTTATAGTGTGGAGTTGCTGTGTACCCCAGTTTGTATGTAAATGCTCCATATGTAGAATCTGAGGGGAGTCTTACTTGCATGGACTCCAGAGTAAATTATGCCCCACAATTTTGTAATAGGGAAGCACAGAAATTAAGAAACTTGCTTTAAATCAATTTGAATTGCATCAAGGAAACAACTAAAAAGGCTCCTGATAAAATTTCTCTTTCACCCAAGTATTTCATGAAAAAGACATTCCATTAGTCAAGTACAGCCTTCTCCTCTTCTCAGCTTTTAAAATAAATATATTCAAATTGTCATCCAAGATAAACTCCTTTTTTCATGAATGTCCAGAAATCTCATAAAAAATATTTTTAAGTTTTTGTTGTTGTTTTTTAATGCACAACCTTATAACAAGATAGAGAGCCTTTGTCTGAAAAACAAAATGCTTACGGAAGAGAAGTGTCATAAGACAGAAAGGAGAAAATTGCAGTTTATGATACTCAAGAAGTCTGTTTGGCCTCTTCAGATTTATAGGCTTCAGACTCAGAGGAGTCAGGAACAGCAGTCAGAAGAAAGTCTGAAAACAGCAAGACAAGAAGAGCCGAAAAATAAAACAGGTAACTCTGCCACAAGTCCTCCAATATTGACCAAGTGTTTACCTTACAAACATAAATTAAAAGGCAAAAATAAATTTAAAAAACAAAGCACAAAAACTTATAACATTCTTTCTTAAAAAAAATTAAGCAAACTGTCTGAGGAGAATACAGTAGCTGATAATGGGTGCTGGTGCCAAAAGCAAACTTTTCCCAATTCTATAGTTTCTAAGACCCAGATATAATATGTCTCGCCATCCAGCCATTCTCAAATAAACTTAGCTATTCAACAGGCCACAGAGTCCTGGTGTGGTGTGTGGGTTAATTTGCCAGAGTGCAAAGCTGTCTGAACTACAAGGTCGGTGGTTCAGGCTCACCAGTTGCTCCTTGGAAACCCTATACAGGGTCACTATGGGTCGAAACTGACTCGATGGCACTTAACAACAACAACAACAACAATGCAAATATACAAAGACCCCACACAAAACCTTCCATAACTCTAAAATTATAAATGGTACAGGAATCATCAGAGAACTGAGGAAAAACTACTGCAAAGAAAGGCAAAGAATAAAATAAATCAAAGAGATCGGAAACCAAAATACTTCTGAAATTAAAAACAGAAACCTTAAAAAAAAGACTCTAATAGGTTTAGAGAGATTTGAGAAAATAGTCTAGCCATTTCGTAAAACCATAAGATTATAGGTAAAGCATAATTCACAAAAGAATAAGGGAAATGAACACATGAGAAGATAAACACCCCTTTAATAACCAAGGGACTGCTCACTAAAACCACATAAAAATTTACACCCACCAAATCGATAAAAATTAAGAAATCTGATAATGTATAATATTGGTAAGGGTATGGAGAAATAGGAATTTTCTTCCACTTTCAGTTGTTGTTATTGTTAAGTTGGTTCCAACCCATAGCAACCCTGTATAGGGCTTACAAGGAGCGGCTGGTAAGCTTGAACTGCTGACCTTGAGGTTCAAATAGACTTTAGAGTTCAGCGCATTAACCCACAGCACCACACCAGGACTTCCTCACTTCAAGTGGGGGGTGTAAAGTGTTAGAATGACTTTGGAAAAAATTTGGCACTATTTTGTTTTTCCACTCCTGCCAAAATTTTGACACATGTACAACAGGTGATACATACAAAAAAAAAAAACAATTAGAGAAGTATTGTTTTTCATATCTCCAAACTAGAAACAACATAAATGTGAGTGGTTAAGCAAGTTTTGCTACATTTACCTAAGGGAAGATTGCCTAGAATGAGAAATAAGCACCAAAAAAAAAAAGATCATCAATGAATTGAAGAACTATAACACTGAGTGGGGAAAAAGGCACACAAAATTTACACCATTTTCATAAAGCTAGAAAAAGAAGCAAAACTAAATGATAAACAGTTAAGGAATACTCATAGATTTAGTGAACCTATACTAAAAAATAATAATGATCTTTTAATAAAATAGAAACTCAGGATAGGGTCATCACTAGGTAAAGAGCAGAGATGTTATTAGGGAAGAACCCATAAAAAGTGTCAAAAATCTCAATTAAATAATCTCATTAATAATCAAGGAACTTCTCATTAAAACTACATGAGAATTGGTGTTCATATTATTAGTATGCTTCATAATTTTTATATCATATAATCTATAACCATTTGATATAGAAATATATGAACACTAATTACCTCACCACTTATCAACTAGTATTCTCATGTGGTTCATAATTTCTGTATCATATAATCTATACCCATTTGGAGTTCTAGTGTGGCACTTCAGGATAATGCACTGGACTGCAGGGTCGGTATGAATTACAGGATTGGAGGTCCCAACTCACTAACAGTTCCAACTCACCTTGGAAACCCTACATAGGGTCTCTGTGAGCTAGAACCGACTTGATGGCACTTAACAACAACATCCATTTATAAATATTCATATATGCGTATTTGCTACATAGTACATATGTCATGGATTTAAGATAAATAATATAAGAATTCAATTTTCAACAAAGGCCAAGAAATTCAATGATGGCAAGTACAATCTTTTTAACAAATGATGATGGAACTATAGAATATCCACATGGTAAAAACAAGAACCCTCCATGTGGAAACCTTAATTGATAACACCATGCATAAATATTAATATGAGATGGATCACAGACCTAAATGTAAAAGTTAAAACTATTAATGTTCTAAAAGAAAACATGTTGTTGTTGTTGTTGTCAGGTGCCATCAAGTCGGAACCGACTCATAGCGACCCCATGCAAAGAACGAAACAATGTCCAATCCTGGGCCAACCTCACTACCGCCGCCACACTTGACGCCATCAATGATGCCACCTGGCTGATCCATCTCGTTGGGGTCTTCCTCTTTTTCTCTGACCCTCCACCTTACCCATCATGCCACCATTCTCCAGCGACTGTTCTCTCCGGACAATGTGTCCAAAGTATGAGAGATGAAGCTTAGCCATCTTGGCCTCCAAGGAGCACTCTGGTTGCACTTCTTCCAAAACAGATCTATTGGTTCTTTTGGCAGTCCATGGCACTTTCAGTATTCTCCTCCAACACCACAACTCAAAGGCATCAATTCTTTTATGATCTTCCTTATTCACAGTCCAGCTTTCGCATCCATATGAGGTTATTGAAAATACCATGGCTTGGGTCAGGTGCACCTTAGTCCTCAAGCTGACATCTCTGCTCTTCAATACTTTAAAAAGTTTCTGTGCAACAGATTTGCCCAATGCAGTACGTCATCTGATCTCTTGACTGCTGCTTCCGCGAGTGTTGATAGTTGATCCAAGAAGAATGAAGTCCTTGACAACTTCAATCTTTTCTCCATTGATAAGAATGTTGTTTATTGGTCCAGTGGTGAGGATTTTTGTTTTCTTTACATTGAGTTGTAATCCATACGTAAGGCTGTGCTCTTTGATCTTCATCAGTAAATATTTTAAGTCCTCTTCACTTTCAGCAAGCAAGGTTGTATCATCTGCATATCTCAGGTTGTTAATAAGTCTTCCTCCAATCCTGACGCCATGTTTTCCTTCATAGAACCCAGCTTCTCGTATTATTTGCTCAGCATACATATTGAACAAGTATGGTGAAAGAACACAATCCTGTCGCACACCTTTCCCAATTTTAAAACATTCAGTGTTCCCATGCTCTGTTCGAACAACTGCCTCTTGGTCCAGGTACAGATTTCTCAGAAGTACAATTAAGTGTTCTGGAATAGAGAATATTTTTACAGTCTTAGGCAAGGCAAAGATGTCTTGAATGGGATACATGAAAGAAAAAAAAAGGACCCTAAAAGGCAAATTTGATCATTTAGACTTTATCAAAAATTTTTAAATCTCTACATAAAACTCGTTAT